AAAAAAAAAAAAAATGGGATAAAAAATTTGGATAATAATTAAGATGGAAGAAAACAGGGAGAAAAGCAAAAATATAATAATTCAAATAGTCCATTTTTTAAGGCGTGCCCAATTGATATTACAAATTTTCATTATTATGACAAAAGTAAGACAATTTGTATTATGTAATAACAGTTCTGCTATGAAGCCATTTGGATTACTCGACTTTTGGAGTCATCCACACTTATTCACAAATAGTGTATTGACATGTGTCCTATAATAAATACACTTTGAACACGAGTCAATACATTAAGTAGTGGATGACTCTATAAGAAAACCACCCGATGGCTCCATAAAATTTTTGTATGTCAGACAGTTCTACTATGGAACCATGGGATGGCTCTGACTTTTGTCCTACTTAGTTATCAGAAGAGGAAGATTCCTTCTGGTTTGTTGCAAACCCAAATTAGTTATCAGACCAATAATAAGAAACCTCGCAGTAGGATAGTTCGTAGAATATGTACACAAGGATGAAGACAACATAATTGACTTTATATCATATCTGATGTCGCACAACATCCAACAAATAACATAACAAATGCAGAAATGATTGCAGCCCAGAAAAAAAAAATAATAATAAAAAAATCAAGAAATCTAAACTCGCATCAAGGTCGTTACATGCGGCCTTGGCAGAACAAACCCAGCCCGCCTTTCCTCAAACGAGTACTCAATCTCCTCATCGGCCGACTTAGCTGCAGGTACAATGGCCATCTGCACAGGAGCAGCAGTAGTCGTGGTTAAGGCCACTTGCCTTGCAACACGTGTCGTCATTTGAGCGGGCGTTAGGGCCACTTGCATTGGAATCGAAACAGTCGATGGTGTTGAGGGCACCACAGGTATCATGGCCATAGCTTGAGGCGTACGGTTCTCAAATTCTGCTGCCATAGGTATCATTGTCTTTGAAGGCGTGGTGAATGGTGAAGGAGTGTTATTAACGGAGAGGGTTTTTTGCAGCATGTCGTGGTGTTTTTTGTTCAAGTCTTCCAGAATGTTGGTCACATAATTGGGTTTTGGAGAGTCAGTTGAGGAAATGGGAGAGAAAGGCTTTCGGGTCATGGGGGGCTCTAAGTCCCGAGCACTGTGTGGGTGGGGAGGATTAAGAGAATTTTGTTGTATGGGGAGACTGGCTATGTCCAGTCCCGTCCTCCCTGTTAATCAAGAAATGCACAAAATATGAATATATACATGTATATGTTTATACAAGTATGTATGCATATATATATATGGAGAAAAATGGAAGGAAACAAGCTTCCAAAAGTATGCATCCACTTGACCCTGCAATATGTTTCTAGATTTTGGTTTTCGGTTTAGTAACTGGCTTGGCATGCTGAACCCAAAAGTAGCGAAAAAAGCTATTTTCAACTTCTATCTCCCTTGATTCATAAATAAGAATATCTGAACTGTTCTATTATGATTCCTAACAAAGGCAGATTTATACCCCCCAGCAAAATTAAAAAATGGAGGAAATTTACCGGTAGAGAGGGCTGCAAATCCATCATCTTTAAGGCAATCCTGGTTCATACGTTCACTTTTCTTGGCTGCACGTGTGTTAGGAGTAGCCTTTGCTGAAGAAAGGATGTCGGGCCTAGGAGTAGCCTTTGCTGAAGAAAGGATGTCGGGCCTAGGAGTTTGAAGCATAGACCCACCAAGGGAGAGTCTTCTATTGCTTGCACCAACACCACCACATGACAATCTAGGCCCTTTCTTGGCACTCTGGTTCTTCATAGGGCTTGGCTTTGAACCATAAAGAGCTTCCTGCTCTGTTTGCAACTGTCCCTGGAGTTTCTTCTGGTCCTGATAAATTAATCAACAAAATGAAGCATATCAAAAAGAGTTTCGTAATGATGCCTTAGCAAGAAAGCCAAGACAAAAAGGTAGTTACCCTCTGCCTCTTGCGTTCTATTTCTTTTTCTTGCCGTAAAACCATGTAGTCTTCAAGCATAGAGAGCAGACGGACCTAGAAATTCAAGATTAGAAGCAATTGTAAATTATGGTACCGACAGTGCGTGCATGTGTGTGGGTTTCTGCGTGTGTGTGTGTGTGTGTGTGTGTGTGTGTGAGAGAGAGAGAGAGAGAGAGAGAGGGAGAGAGAGAGAAAGCACTCACCCCATCATAAGTAAAATGAACTCCTCTTTCATTTTCCCATGCTGTGGTCTTCGAAGTTAATGTATCCACCATTGCTATCCCAGAAAATAAGATCAATTAGCGTAAGTCAAGTTTTAGTCATTAAGGCTTAAGAACAGAAAATAATCTTCTGAACACAGAACTCAACCATACCAGGAAGTTTGTTGACTAATGTACGGGCTTTCTCAGCACGTTTGAGAGTAAGATGAGCACCTCTCCCAGCATTATAACGATTCTCATCCTGAAAGAAAAAATAAAATAATGATAATAAGTAATTGTGTATTCCTAACTCGAGAAGTACAGAATAGCAATTTCTACACAAGTCCAACCCTATTATACTCCTCGAGCCAGCTCTCCTCATCGCATGCAGCCATCCACTTCTCAACCTTTTCAAGGATTTCTTTCCGGCATAGTGCCTCCTCTTTGACTTTGGATATTTGGATCTCAATTTGTTCAAGCACAAAAGAGGCATCAACAGCGCCTTACATAGTTACATTAACCACAAAAACCAGATATGAGAAATAAGAACTGAAAGAAAACAAAATTGCACTATCTTCAAGACCTAAAATATGAAATACCAGATTCAACAGCCTGTATGGCGATGTCAATGGAACCATCGGATCCTGGAACTAAATGTGTCTTCCTACAAATATCTTCAAGCTCTGACTTCTTCTTCAAAACAAGTTCCTTCATCTTGCTTATTTTCAATTCTTCCAATCGAGAAACTTCAGTTTTGACCTGAGAGATACATGATCTACTTTATAACCCAGTCCCAAAGCACAAACATCTACTCGCAAAAACGAATGAAAAGTGTATTGAAAAAATATTACGTTATATTATGCCCCTCCTGAAAAATCTCAACTCACATAATTAATAAAATCAGCAGAAAGCATGTCGGCTTCTGTTATCTCATCTTCAGAAGCAGCTATGTTACATGTAACTTTCTGAAACATCTGTTGCTCTTCGATTGGTGTGTCCATCAAGTTCCAAAGCTCCAGCAATGAACTTGCTAGATCTTGTAACTAACCAACAATAAGCAATTAAAAAACTGTATCATTGAACAGAAAATATCTCTTAGGCACAAATGAAATATGGGCATACCTGCTGCATTCTCTGCATTTTAACCTCTCTGAGACTTTGTATGGCAGCCCCCAATTTTTCTATAGTATCATTGCTAATGTTTTTTGAAGCATCAGTTTCCCCTAAGCTTGGATGAATCTCACTAGCAGTTTGCTCAAAATCCAAACCGAGCACTGAGCAACATGAGTACAAGTAACTCAGTTGCTCCATAACCTGTTTCAGACGTTCACACTGCAAAGAAATTTTGTCAGGAAACATATCCGAGGATAACTATTAATAAGGAAAAAATGACCACATTCAGATTCAGAAGATAACCTTTTCTTTCTGAAGTGCCTGAAGTTCTTTTTGCAACTCTTCCAGATATCTCAAAGACAAATCATCCACTGTCGTGTCATTTGAAGAATAGCCTCCTGGACTATTGATTTCATTCTTAATATTTTGTATCTCTTTCTTCACCTCTATAAACTGATTTTTCCTATCAGCTTTCCTCTTCCGCATCTCCTCTATCTGGGGGAGGATGGCTCTGAGCTCAGCCTTCAAGCTTCCAGTGCTTTGATCAGACTACACAATAAAAGACCGTCCATTGACTTAATAAATATAACAAAACAAGTCTGTGATTCTCTATTAAATTTATGCTTTGATGCCAGTAAGGATTTTGAAACAAGTATCAGCAGTCATATCTCATATGCTGATCAAAATTTTCCGCAAATCCCATTTCAGTGCAATCAGAAATATTTATGAAATTGACATTCGATCTTGGGCCCTAACCTGCCTAATGTGCACTGGGCGCTCCCCCATTGAAGAGCATATGGCAGCAAGCTCAGCCTCAGCATCAGCAATTGCCTGCCTCAGCTGAGCTCTACACCTGTTTGCTTGGTCTACTTTTCTTCTATACACCTCCAAACATTCTTGCTCCAGTTCATGTAACATCCTGTCCTTCTCAGAATCCGTTTCCCCAACCTCATCCCATATTATCTGATAAATTTACCAACAGAAATGTGATGAAGACGATGGATGATTGTTAACAAAAAAAAAATAAAAAATTACTCACTCCCGGAGACCAAGAAATAAAGAGGAAAACACAAAGGGTTATAATAAAATGAAAAACAACACAATCAACTAGACCTAAGAAAGCATTATACCTGAAGTTCATGTAGAAGAGTCCCACATGTAGTTTCCGTTTGAACTGATGCCATTTCTTGCTACACCTGCAAATGACAGGAAGTAACAAATCACAATCACAATTAACATCCAAGTAAAGCACTATGAAGATTCAAACTTTCCGACTTCGAAAAGGGATGTAACTAAAGAAGGACAAGCCACGTCTAAGGAAAAAGCACCCCCCATAACACTAAGTAGCTTAAAAAAAATAAAGCGCGAGCGACCATAGCCCTCTCATTGTTGAATCTAGTAAAACAAATGTGCATTTGCATATTAAAGATTTGAATCTTCATAAACAGATCCCAGCATATTGAAAATCAGAACAATATAACCTGCATACTGTTACTCAAAATAACTTCTTTTTTTTTCAAGACGCCTCGATTCGTAAGTGCAAACCAGCTAACTAATAATTTCTCCAAGCTAAATTAACCTAGCCCTCTGCATCCAAATCATCCGCATAACTATTCGGCCGAACAAAACCTACAAATTTCTTCGATTCAAGAAGTCCACGAACCCCACTACAAAACCTAATCAACCAAAAAAAAAACAAACAACTTTCTATCCCAAACTCTGTCATAAACATTGACGAACCCACAATAACCCCACAATTTTTCGGCCCTCGTTAACATTATTCACCAATCACAAGACCAAATCAAGAAACAGAACAAGAAGTGTAGATCCGAGAGCGTACCTGAAAAATCAAAACCCAAAATAGACGAAAAAAATCCTGTCTAAGCACGGATCAGGAGCAGATTTGCGCAGTGCGCTCGTGTCTGAAGGAATTATAAAAGGAATTTCGAAATTTGGTACTGAAGAGTAGTAAAAGCTAGCGAGAGAAAGTAGGGTGATTAGGAGATGATTCAAATATCCGACCGTTGAGTGGTGAGAGAATAATTGTGAGAGATACAGTGTGTGGGCTCTGCCTCTCTTGCTGCTAAAGATTTGAAAATACGGTAACTGAGGCAAAGGAAATTTAATTTGGATCTTTTTGTTAACGTTATTCGGCTGTGACAAAAAGTAAATGACAGGCGATTCAAGACTGTGAGCTTGTGCCCTAGCTTTTTCAATTTTGTTTTCAACTCGCATTAATTTTTTTTTGGTACAGGAACCTTCCGATTTCTGGATCCACAGGGGAATCGACTAATTCGGAATCGAGTCGGGTAGGACCACAAGGGCGGCAAAGTTCTTCCTAAACTCGCATTAATTTTGACCAAGGATTGTTATGTACATGATTATCCCTGTTTAAAAATGATTATGTACATGATTGTATTTGTACCTCAAATCTATATATATAGCATGTGGTTCAAATGAGAACCAAGTCCTAGCGTGAGAACTGTGAGAACCGCTATTTTTAATTGTATGTAGTGCTATGATGATTGTGTTCTAGTGTTATTTTTAACTAGGGTGTATTTTATTAAAAATAACAATAAAATTTTTATTAGCATTTGTGGAAATAATAGCACAATGCAATATTAAAAATAGCATCATACACAATAAAAAATAGCATCAAATATGATTTTCACGGTTCTCACACCAGACATAGTTTTTATTTGAACCAACCCATATATATATATATATATGTATATATATATATATATAATTAATTAATTTGGAGCAACAAAGCATTAAATTATATTACCTACATTTAATTATATTATCCCTCCAAAATTTGAGCATTTAATTTTATTATCCCTCCAAAATTTTCAGCATTAAAATATATTATCCCTCCAAAATTTTCAGCATTTAATCATATATGTTATCTTTTATTTTTGAATTAAATTACAACCTCAAATCATGCACTTTATTTGAATTATTGGACATAAAATGTGCAAGCATTGATATATAATCATTTTAGTTGCAAATAATAAAAATAAATTAAATTACAAAATTACATATTTAAATTGAAATAAATATCAATCTCGATCCAATCTGTTGTTACTATTTTACCTGCAAAATAACATTAAATAAATTAACAAGGAAATATTAGCTATTATTATTATATGTTATACTATCACTTTAAACAACAATTATTATAAAATGTGATATCATTAAACAAGATCAACAAATAACAAAAATTTGAAAAAAAAAAATTACCCTAATTTGCAATATACATCACACTATCATAACATCATGCTATAATCATACAACATGTGGGTGGAGAAATCATGTCATTATTTTATTTTCTTTGTTCTAATGTCTTAAATAATGAATAAAAAACGTGTGAATTAATTCTTCATAATCTAATTTACTTTATTCCTAAAGCTGAAATATAATTCCTTTTTGTTTTTAATTTTTTTGCAAAAACACATAATACTCTTAAAAATTCAAAATATGCTATCAAACATATTTGAATGTTGTATTCAAAATCTGCTATCAAACACATAACCATGGTGTCCTATGCTATGACGATCAACAAGAGTCAAGATCAGTTTCTCTCACACGTCGGTTTAGTATTGAAGAATCCTGTTTTCTGTCATGGACAATTGTACGTGGCTCTTTCTAGAGTCACAAATCGGAAGATTTTGAAAATAATGATATGTGGTGATGGTGATTCCGACGATAGAAAAAACTTGAATGTTGTATACAAAAAAGTATTTAATAATATTTAGAATCATTTTCTTAATTCATATTTTTATTAATTAAATCATGATTTTGTATTTTTTTTATATTCGTAACTCTTATAATTATTCTCCTCCGTGCAAATGCACGGGTTGATTACTAGTGTATAAAAATGATTAAGATATATTAATACTCATTGGGTAGAGTTGGTGCCCGGTAGAGTTGGTGCCCATTTATTTTATTTCATCAAATTAAATTATAAATAAATATTCTGAAAAATAATTTTCAAATGCAGAGGCAGCCGGATCAATAATTCAAAAATTGCAGTTAGGACGTATTTAACAAAAAGTTGCATATCACATGAATAAATCATAAGAATGATCGACTAACTAAGAAATTAATCCTAAATAAAAAAATAATAAGTTTTTGCTGTTAAGTTGTCTAACCGTTAGACAATTATGTTTTATTATATAAAATGAATAGTTATGAAAAGTCATACTTTTATAGGGTAAATTGCACCAAACCCTCATGTGTTTAACGAAAAGTGGGTGTTTCCCCACTGTGTTTTAAAAACTGCACTAGACACCCTTGTGTTTATGTAATTGTTGCACGGTTACCCCATTCCGTCCAAGTTAACCGCGCATGTATGACACCTTCTCTTTTTTTTTTTTTCCCGAAACGATAGATGTACTATAAATCAAAAAGCACAAATGTGCGAATACACAGCAGCCAACGGCTGAATACACAGCAGCCAACAGCTGAATAACAAAGAGAGGACAGGTCCTATGATCTCCCAGATCCGACCGCCTAGATCCGACCCCAACAGGGTAATAAAAAAAAACACAAAATACAACACCGCACAGATACCCCAACAGGGTAATACACAGAGACCCCAACAGGGTAATACTTGAGTGTCGGACCCCAACAGGGTAATAAAGTGACACTCAAGCTGACAGAGGCCAACTGGCCCAAACCAAAAACACATCAACAACACAACATAACGAACAAACACACACACACACACACAAAGCTACCCAACTAACAAAACAAAAGCAACTAGAACTAAACAAGCCCTCCCAAAGTAGTAGCACCAAACCGAACCAACGGAAACAAGGCGACAGAGAATCCCGCAGCCAGCTGAATCGACCCCGAAACTGCCAAAACCACCCGGTTGCCTAACGGTGTCGAACCCCTAGCCCCGAAACCCGATCCGGCCACCCGCACCACGGCCACAATACTCCAAATTGTTCCGAACAAACAAACGAGTACCAAGCCGCAGCCCCAACCCCATCACGCCTAGAAGCAGTCCAAAGCCACCGCGTCGCCGCCTTACTACTCCCCCCATCACCACTGGCAGAAGAAGAAGAACGACCACCACGACCCTTCGACCCAAAAGTCGAATCAACTTCGAACCGCAGCAACTTCCGATTCGCCCAAACAGCAACATCGCCGAGCAATTGGGAAGCGTCCCGCCTCGAGAACCGCACCACAGCTCCTCCTCCGCCCAGCAGAGAAGCCACCACACGGAAGTCGCGAAAAGTCGCCGGAAGAGAAGACGACCGTCCGCAACAGGGCCAACTCCAAGGGAACGGAAAAGGAGCAGAAAAAAGAGGCAGGAGCCAAGCAATCAAGGGCCGGCCTCCGCCGGCAAAGCCCGATGTACACCTTGGAATTACTAGAGATTTATTCAATTTTTTTTATTTTCAGAATTACTAGTTGTTTGTCCCATTTTTGTGTCTTTATTTTGGGTTATTTTCTCTTTATTTTTCCCCACTTATAGGATTTTCGTGGTTTATTTGGTCCAATTCTGTGTTTTTTGCGTTTTTCTCTTTAGTTTCGTTTTGAGCGTCTTTTTGCTGTCTTTTTGCTGTGTTTTGCTTCGTGTTTTCTTCGTGTTTGTGTTTTCAGGAGGTAGGTTGTGTCGATCGAGGACGGGACCACTTGAGCTGAGATCGGGATACCAAGAATACCCATTGACGTGCTTAGAATACTGAAGGAAGGACCGGAAAAACGGACTGAAAAGCTGCCCAGGACATCTCGCGACTCGCGAGTCATGGTCGCGACTCGCGAGTTGGTCGCGACTCGCGAGATAGTCACGACCCGCGAGTCCAACAGAAACGAATTGTATACTTTCGCGATACGAGTCGCGACTCGCGAGTCAATGTCGCGACTCGCGAGATGATGTCGCGACTCGCGAGTTATCTCGCGATTTTCTCCAGATTTTATAGATTTTTGCCGACGCGCGACTCGCGAGAAGTCGCGACTCGCGACATGGGAAAGGAGGAAGTCGCGACTCGCGACTTATTCGCGACTCGCGACTTACGCGGCGTGAATTTCGAGGTCGGGATTTTTACATTAGATTTTCGACCTAGACATCATGATTCTCATTCCAGACTTCGTTTTTACACTTTTTCTCCCTAGAAACTTATTCCTTTTCGTACTTTTGCTATTTTGGAGTAGTTTTGGAAATTAAAAC